GAAGGGTACTTTGGGATAGGAGAAAAAATATCCTTACCAGAGAACATTTAATCATAAGAAGCTTATCCTTCTCAAAGGGAATGCGGTGCATTTGCATCATTCTCTTTGGCAGTTAACCTTTTACATTTTATGCTTATGACATTTCTGTCAGGCGCTCTGTGTGCGCCAATGAAAGTCAGAGGTCTTTGGACACCATTCAAGAAGCAGAAGGTGCCTAGGGGCTGGGGAAGCTTGACGTGAGGCAGTCTGGCAGAGGAGGAAGTTTATACTGAGCTGCAGGGCAGCTAGAGAAAAGGACTCAGGCTGTGAAGGGCAAGCTGCCTGGGGCAGAGCTCCTTTGGAGACTTCCTGTGGGAGCTTGGGTGTCATTTTTGGCCTTACTTGTTGGACTGAGGGAAACAAAGAAGTGTCAGAGCAGGTTTTCTAAACCAGCCTATACATTTGTGTACATGGAGGTTTAGATGCAATCATCAGTGAATCTGTACCTACAACCAGGAAGTAGACGGTTCAGTGGTCACAGGAAGAGCAGGCTTGTTTGAGAGGTAAATTGAAATCTACTTAACAAAGCGATTCAGAAGATGTTCAGTGTAACTTTCTCCTGAGAACACAGCCTCCTAAGCTGTTAATCAGGGCACCGGGCAAAATACTCAATAATATTGTTCCAAGGCTAACACTCAGGAACAGAAACCATGGAAACCCATTTATTTTGTGAACTTGTTGACTCTCTTTGGAAGAACAGACTGGAAGATGAAGAAGGAGACATGTTTTACTTAACAGTTATGTATGAGTCAGAGAACCGTTTCAGTGTTTTTCATACATTAAATATTCAGGTGAATTGTCTAGTAAGCTGATGGATTTGAGAGTGAAATCTTTAGCATGGATTGGAAAAAAGTGCTATAAAAAGGTAGCGTTTACAGGATTTAACTCTTGTGAAATTTTTCCACAGGATCTGAGGCACAATTTTATTTTATGATTAGGACTTTTAATTAGGTTTAAAATTCTAGCTCTTAACTTTTCAGCTGTATATCTTGGGGTAAGTTCACCTCTATAAATGTCAGTCTTTCTCATATGTTAAATGTTGCCTACCTCACAAAGTGGTTGTGAGAATTTAATAAAATAATATGTATAAAATGTTTAGCATAGTGTTTGGTCCATAGCGAATGTTTCATAAAAATTAAAGCCTATTACCATTTTATCCTTTAGGCCATAAAGAAACATTCATCAAATACTTCCAAATGCAAGGAATCCTAGTTGGGTGGTATTCTTAGTTTGCTGAAAGAGAGATATTTTTTGTACTCATATAAAGAAGTGAGAGATTTGACCAAAATATTAAAATAGTTGAATAAAGTTCTGGGTAATATTCTAATTTTAATTATTTGTGAATTTTGTTAGAGAATAGTATTTAATATTTTTAAAAACCTACTATGTGGAGGGTACCTTGAAGTCACTTTATTCACAATGTCTCTGCAAAGTGACTATAGTTGTCCCACTATTATAGGCACAGAAACTGAGGCCCAATGAGATGAAAGAATGCGACCAAGCTTATGTATTGTGGCGAACGGAACAGAGGTCTGAAGGCCAAAGGCTGCGCTCTTTAGGTTCATTTCACAAAACCAGGGTACAGCAGGATGAAACCTTCATGGGCAAAGTCTGGCCCTGCTGTGGACTCTGAGGTCATTGCAGCATTTCTATTTTGGTGTTCCCATTAAACTCTTACCCTCTAATGGGGTGGGGGCTGGCAAAATGGCAATGTCACCCCTGAGCAGGCACCCAAGTCAAGCGATAAATCACATGCAGTGCTTGGGTTCCTTTTTCTGTTCAGGGGCTGAGAATGGCTCTGCTTATTTCAACCTCAGCAGCTGGCTTGCCTGCTATTCAGAACCAACAGGCACTTGAACTGAGTTAGCTCGTAATAAAAGCTTCTTAAGCACCGTGGGCAATTGTTTAGGAGAAAGATTGACTTTAAAAACATGCACCTGAATGTTTAGCAGCTTTAGAAATATCTGAGGATAAAATGTTCAGTTTTCAGGTAAAGCTGTTTTGGCAGCCTGATTTCTACAATGCTGGGCCATTGTAGAGGCTGCTTAATATAGGCAAGGCACAGATATTTTTTGTCTTTATATGCTGCCTTGGAACATTCTGTTTCTGCATATTTTTAACCAGATAAACGGGCCTCTAAGGGCCACATGGATGCAAATTCTCTACTAACTCTTTTAAAAAATTTTTAAATTTTATTTAATTTAAAAAATTTTTTTCCTAAATGATGAGAAATGGAAAAAATGGAAATAAAGTCTTTGTAAATAGGGAAGGGTGGAGGGCTTGAAGGGAGGGCTAGGAATGGGGAAAAAATAAGAATCAAGATGCATTATATAAAGGTACAATTCCCAGTGAGAAATGTAATTGTGTTGTATACCTACAATGTACCAATAAAAGAATTTAATACAAAAAAATGTTTTTTTCCTAATTATTTGTAAATAAATCTCTTTAGGACCCTTCCTTAAATAAAGCACTTTGTTGATTATTAATATATTTGTCTATTTCCAGTGTTTTACTATTTCCAGAACATTTACATCTACATCTTTCTTTTCATTTTCCAACTGGAAAGTACTGAACTTGGCTTGCTTTTTACTCCTCTACCTTTTCCTGGCCCTGTGACTGTAATTAAGTTCCTCACCTACTCTGAGCCTATCCTCAGCTATGAAATAGAATTGTCTATGTTTGCTTTTTAGGATTGCTGTATAAGGGACTCAGTGTAAGTGTAGGTGCTTTGAAAATCGTTCAAGACCCTTTGAAAATGAATGATTATTGCTATTATTATTTATATTTGTGGACAAAAATCATTGGTGTTCATTAAGGAGTACTAATGAGTTAATAGCATCCTAAAGATCTAAAAATTAAGTTGTGGTGAGAGGCCAGAACAGACATGTAATTGGTAATTTAATAGATAATAGAAGATAATAGAAGGACATGGAAGAAGACCCCAAATGTTATAGGAGATTTCTGGGAAAAGAAGAACAAAGGAACAGAACATATTTTAAAGGCTTTTTATAAGAGATATATTTAGTCCACAGCAGTTGCAGTGTGCCACTTCTTTATAGGCAGAGTAGGGTAGTCAAATGGGGCAGTTGCTGATCTGCTTCTTCCTAGTTGTGTAACATACTTAATCTTTCTGCAAAAAGTGAAGATAACACCTACTATACAGGGGAATGAAAATAATATAATATACATAAAGTGCTTGTTGCATAATATAGCTCATTAACTAACTACCCTCCTCCTCGTCTCCCTCTTCCCCTTCCTCTTCCTCCTTTAAATTTTTTTTTTTTTTTTCAGCTAGAGCTCTAGCTAGACAGGCCACTATCAACGGTACTTGGAATTTGAAACTTTTGTGATTCTTAGAGCATTCAGGCGAAGTTTAAAAGCAATCAGTGGAGGCCTAGTAAATACTTTGGGATTACTCAGAATGCTGGCCAAACCTGTTAATGGAGCCTGGGTTACATAGCCACTTCAGTGATCGTCAGGTGCAGAGAAAGTTGTAGGTGTTCAGTTTGTGGAAAGGCTTTAAAAAGTTCTGAGGCAAGAAGCTGTCTGTGTAGTGAGGAGTGTTGACAGGGATTAACTTCTGGACTTACTCGGCGATAAGATCCTATGTTGAGGAATGAAGAAGGTAATCATCGTCTTAAGCTGGACTCTTGGTAAGAAGCTCTTGCTAAGGGATGCTTCGCTAAGAATGGAGTTTTCCAAAGCGTAGTTTGGGTTTAAAAAATTATCATCCACTGTTTGGAGGCACTTTTTATATCTTTCAGCAAGTAACGAGAAATTTATAAATGTAAAATTGTAAATTATGCAACCTTTTAAGAATCAATGTAAAAATATCCAAATAAGGATGGGGTGTCAACTTCTTTAGCTATTAAATACATAAGTACATGCAATTAGGGAAGTAAAATGGAAATTATTTGAAAAAAGAAGCACTGCCTCATGTTGTTCACTTTAGGCCTAACAGGATCTGACTGTCTGCTATAGTGAGTGTGGACATCATGCGGTCACAGCAGACCTGCTGAGTACTCTGCATTTCCAAGTCTTTCCTACAGGCCTCACCGAACATAAGGAAGTGAGTGAGGTTTTGAAAGTTGCCTATATTTCAAAGATGGGAAGATTTAAAATTATTGGCATGAGTATACTGTAACACATTACATCTTTTTTTCCATGTGTAGGTTAGAAAATGATTCTCAGCTTTCCTGTATCAGCTTCTTCCATGACATCTATTTTTTTTGTGATAATACTAATAAGCCCTTATATTTGAGCTTTCTAGTTTTTTCATGTCCATCACCTCATTTTAAGTCAAGGTAGCTTGAAAACCTTACTTGGTACACCAGATCTTGCCTGACTCCATACTGATTATGCATGATGGGAAGGAAGGAACACGGAGAAATGAGATGAACACCTGTGACCGAAAAATCATAGAAGTCAAAGGTGGACTTGGTAGCAGAGTATCCATAAATAGATAGGTAGATAGATAGATAGACAGAACCTTCTCTTCCAGAATATCCTGGTTGAGTTTGGGGATTGTGCGGTAGAAATGTGAAGAAGACACAGATAAATACAGCCATAAACCTGTCACCTGAGCCAGGTAAGAGTGGGGACTGGGCCTGGGAAGAAGGAGTGTTTTTGGTATAGGTACCATGTGCCAAGTAGATGATAATAGTTCAGTACATATATTTTAAATTTGTTCAGCAGCCCTAAAACATAAGTATTGTAGGGAACAAGCCCAGACTGGTATGGGTAACTCACCAATATACATTAAAAAATAAACCTAGTGTTGCTCTGCTCAGGTGACATTTAGGTAACATTTCTATTGTTGCCTCCTGGTGTGTTTCCCTAGTCTTTTTAGAAACCCAGATGGAAAATGTGATTGTGCCCCTGAAAATGAGAATGAATCTTCTCCACACAATTTAGGGCAAAGCCAAATCAAGATAGCTTGGGGGCCTCAGTGAGGCCCTTACCTGTGGATACTTTGTTCTAGAACCTGGATCTGATGCTGGTCTTGTTGATTTTGCTTCTTCATCTCTTCTTGTTCTTTTCCGTTGCTGATCCCATCCAGAAGCCATTTCTCCCTCAAGGCTTTTTTCTGATGTCAAGAAATATAAGCGTATATTCTTATATCAGACAACAATTTCTAAAATCTCAAATTTCTTTCAAATTTTATGAATTTCAATAGTGGGCATATTAAAGAATTATTTTCTCCCACTGCCTTGCCTGGATAAATCTGGTATTTTCCTTTTTGCAACCTTGACCACCTTCCAAAGCTAGTTTATATTTATTGCAGTCACACAGAGACCTAAAAGTATGATTATGATGTCTTTGCTATTTCTTTGGTTGATGGGTATATATATCGTTAAAACCTCCCTGAAAGCCATCATGATAGTCACTCTAGCAACAGTACACAATGACTCACCTCCCAAAATCTTGTGTGGGAATAATTGGAATGGCAGGCAAAACAGAAGGTTGCCATTCTACCCATTCCTATCTTAAGTGAATTCAGTGTTATTCTTAGGCTGTGTGGTAGACATTTAGTGTTCTGCTTACTCAGCACTTCCTTCTTTTCTGAGACTCTCCCTGGTTGTAGACATCCTTAAGTCCATCTCCCTGCCTGTTCCAATAATATGAGGCATATTCACTGTGCTGTCTAAACATTAATGAGTTTAATTTTGTCAAATTTAAGAACATAAGAGAGACTTATGTTTTATCCTATGGAAAAAATTCCTCTTGAATTTGCATGAAAGAATTAACCTTTTTGATTTGAGCAATGAAACAGAAAGACTTAAAGCAATGAAAGAGACTTATAAATTTTGGAAGGGCGTTAGCCAGCATCCAGTCCATATCTCAAGTGGAATCTGTCAGACATATTGTTATATTATTTTCAAGGAGTTTAGTTCTCTTTCATACTTTCTGAAGAAAAGGAGTGTCATCTACCTCTAAAAATTATTTGCTCAGCTACTTGTTGTTAATTATTCATTAGGGATTCCCTATGACTGTAATGGTGAGGAAAGAATAGAAATTTTATCTTTTGGCCTTCTTTGATATTACAGTTAAAAGGAGAGCAGGTAAGACTTTGTGTCTTTAAAAAGGATGTATACCTTTAATACCATGGGGGAGAAAAATTTCTGAGTTTAAAAAATTTAATTATGCTAGGTTATGGTAGATAATTACCAAAGGATTTTTTTTTTAACTAAGGCAAAGGCTTTCAAGTCGGTTAAAAAACCCAAAATTACAGTGATTGCAAATGAATATCGTATGGAATGAAAGTTTGGAGAAAAACTCTCAACTCCTCTAGTTGAATCAGTGCGGGGGTCAGGAAGCTTCTAGGTGCCTAGAAAATTGTTTGAGAACTGCTAGATGCAGTGAGGAAAAGCTTCACCTTAGATCATGCTTTTGTTAACTTTTAAGAAATTGCATGTGAACAACACACACCAGAAGAGCATTTTGTATTATTACATTCTGTGGCCAGAGAATTTGTTTTCTCTTCTTTCCCCAAATGTAATTTAACCATTTGTTATAAAGTTGGTTAGCTGCTTGTGTTTTCCCATAGGCTCAGTATTATTATTCTTAAACCTTTACAACTAATGAATGTTTATTAATTTTTAGGATCCTTATATTTTTTATTTTTACTTATTTACCACATTTTTCATTGTCTACTAGACTTGTGACATTTTGTATTTGTTCCATTCACTAATATATCTTCAGTCCTTTTGTTTTATTAGTACAGATCAGTAATACAGAATAATGAGATTCATCTTGGTATATTGGTACCTGTATATAATTTGAGTATGTTCATCCCCATTACTCTCCTGTCCCATTACTCTCCTTCCCTTTCCCTAAACAGGGAAATCCCTTCTTCATTTCTAAAAAGCTACCTCCTAGTTTCCTGTCATCTGTTAATTAATTAATTAATTAATTGATTTCTCATATAAGAGAACACATACAATGTTTAGCATTCTGAGGTGGGCATAATTCACTTAACATGATGGTTTCTAGTTCCATCCATTTTCTTGAAAGTGATAGTTTCTTTTTTTATGCCTGAATAAATACTCCATTGTTTTTATTTTTTTTGGTACTGGGGATCGAACTCCGGTCCTTGTGCTTGTGAGGCAGGGGGTGGAACCACTGAGCTAAATCCCCAGCCCTCCATTGTTTATATATACACCGTATTTTCTTTATCCATTCATCAGTTGATGGGCATGTAGACTATTTCTATGTCTTAGCTACTGTGAATTGCACAATAAACATGAGTATGCATGTATCACTGTAGTATGTATCACTGTAGCGTACACTGTAGTATGTTTAATTCTTTGGGAATATACTAAGGAATGGTATACCTGGATCAAATGGTAGCTCTATTTTTAGTTTTTTGAGAAATCTCCATACTGATTTCCATAATGGTCCTGCTAGTTTACATTTCCACTAGCAATGTAGGAGAGACCCAGCACATATTTAAGTATGTGAAGACTAGGCTTTTGAGGTCAAAAATGCCAAGAAAATCTGAATATATCAGCTTTTTAAGACTTTATTGTGATTTTATCTATTTGTATGCTTTTTTTCTCTAGGAAACACTCAGATGGGATTGTCTTACAATGTTGAGTTATAGATGGTAGAGAATGATTCTTGTAACATGGTCAGGTTAACTTCAGGCTATATTCTTGGTTCTCAGTTTGGTTAAGAACAAGAATAATTTTAGTTTTAGTGTCATTTCCTCTAGTGGAGAACTTTTTCAAGTTAAATATAAAATACAAATTTGGATGTGCAATGAAAATGATCTGGTATAATGGCATATTATAGAAATCAAAACATAGTTATTTTGTTTTGTGTCACAATTTAGACTTGTGCTTTAGTAAATGAGACTAATGACTAAGGTAACAATTTAATTCAAGATAATAAAATTCAGAACCAAAAGCTATGTGAACTCATTGAAAATATAAGTGTCATGCACATCATGGGTGTGATGATCAGGCTAAGGGGTTAAAGGTCAGATTGGGTTGCTGCAACTATTTAAAAATGTGTATGCACTGATACAGGAGGAACACTTTGTAAATGTTTATGCTTATGTTGTGTAATGTGTGTCATTGAACTGTAATGAAATAGTTTGCAATCAGGGAAGCCGTGAGGATAGTCATGGGAACCAGGACAAGTGGATAGAAGAAATAGAGACAAGTCTGTAACTATAGAGTCTAGTGGAACTTAACACGCTGAACATATTGTAGAATTGATTTGTAAAATACTTTTGCACATTTTTGAATCCTGTTTTGGAATTATGCCCGGTTGCTCCTTGGTCTGGCTAGCTATTTCTGTAAACTTGAAAGAATATTCTGTATTGAAATAGCCGCTCTTTCCTCTGTGTTCTCTTTGGAGTTTTTATGTCTCCCATATAGTGTTCTTTGTAGTATAAATGTCTTTTTTTCTTTTCTTTTTTTGACAAATCAAGATTTTATTTAGTATGAGAATGAGGGGGTCATTTAAGATCCAAGTCCTAACAAGTAGCTTACAAAAATAGTTATTTCTTCTTCCTGTTTTGATACTTAACTGTCACATGAGATTCTGTATTACACAAAAGGCAAAATGATTTTTGAAACAAGTTTTTCTATAAAAGAGAACACATATAAATGCTTCCCTAACTTCAACAGTGAAAGTTACTGTTATCTCTAGTGTTTACTAGGTTGCTTGTGACCCCAAACAGTAAAGGTAAAATATGAGATTTTTACGTTCACTAAAATCTAAAATAGTATGCTAGGAAAATAAAGATACAGTAAACAATGATATAAAGGAGGCTGGAACTCACCAAGAAGCATTACACAAATGACCCAACTATCCTTGGTGGCAGAAAGCAACTTAGCCAGAATACATACTTGTGCTACTGGAGAGGAGATAAACTGAGCCACTTTACCTTCTGGCCAAATTAAAATGCTATTTTTCACTCCTGTTTTGCTTGAAACAAAGCAATGAATATAGGTTAAGATCAATTTTCCTCCTGTTTCTGGATCTGAATTTGCAGCTAATTATAGGGCATGGCCTGTCTGTCAACTCCCCTGTACATATACACATACATGCAGACATATATATTTAAAACTATACAGTAACTAAGGTATTATTTATACAATCATTAAAAGATGTTCTTTGAACATATTAGCAAATGCTATACCTTTTAATTAAATTTTCCTTAAATAACCAAGCACTGAAAACCTAATAAAAATGTTAATTATTTTAAAATGGTTGACGTTCTTTTCCCCTTAAATAGTCTAAGCCAGAACAGGTCTTTTGTAGATGTGCTTAATAGATGCCTTAACAAGATTATGTGTCAATTACCATTTTAAATGTTCAGGACAAATTTTATTTATTTTATATTCCCAGTGTCCAACTTAGTACCTTGTACATAATAGGTGTTTGCTTAATAAGTGTTTGTTCTCTGAAAGGTCCTATGTACACCCATATAAATTCTACTTAACAGTTAAGAGTCACTTGAAATTCCACATCTGTCATAGAACCTTGTCTGACATCTCAGATTAAATAATTAAAGCTTATACTCTAAATAAAACACTATCATTTAACTAACTTACCTTTCCATTTACTCTTTAATTTCCCAAATTAGGAAAAAATATTTCCTATTCCCCTTTACACTCTCCCCTTTGGGTCCATGCACAGCTTGAGAAAGTAAAGATAACACCTCAGTCCAGAAAATATGAAAACCTCTTGGTTCAGGCATGAGCAGCCCTAAGCCAGTGCACACATTTGGCGAAGGGGTGTGGGCAGGATTTCCGAATTTCTGTTTATACAGTCTGCACAATTGTGTACAGCAGTCCAAGGCATGATAAATGTTTTGATTGCATTGGATTAGAAGAGGTCTCCTGGTTCCAGAAAGCAAACCAATATAGAAGACCACACATTACCTTATGGACTGTTTTTGGCAGTACTGAATGAAACTCCACCTCAGAAATGGACTTTTCAGTGAGTTAGGGTTTTCCTGTGTGAAACTTCCTAAATGAACTGAGGGGATAGTTAAGCCTTCTCTTCCACTGTGAGCTATGCTCTTGTTTTGGCTGCAAGGATAGTGATTGCTGAGAGCTAGAGAGCTATGAGTTTACTCAGAAGCAAAAAGTAATTCACTTCCTGTAAGATCCAACTGTAAGAAGAGAGAGAGAGAGGAATCTGGTTTTGGAATTAGAAACAGTCAATCTCAAAAATTGTTCCAGATTTGACTGACTTCATTGAAATTTCACTGAACTAATTTAGACAATTTGATTTTAATCTGTTGATTGTCATGTAGTACACACTGCATTTCTTGAGTGACAGTGTCTGTTCCTCATTGTAATTTCAATGCAACATACTGGAAGGACAGCAGGTCAACTATGATGTCACCTATACATCAAACAACAGAAATGTCAACCTGTCCAATAGGAGCAAAGAAGGAAACAGAATCCAGAGAAGGCAGGTTAATCACTCTTAAATTGCTTCTTTTCTTTTCTTTTTTTTGGTACCGGGGATTGAACTTGGGTCCTTGTGCTTGCGAGGCAGGTGACGGAACCACTGAGCTAAATCCCCAGCCCTTAAATTGCTTCTTTTCATAGATGGTTGGTTACTTGTTCCACTAGAAAAATGGATTTAGCTGAATTTGGCAAGTTTCATTTATGTTTGGAGATCCCATGAGCATGTAAAATTGTTTCATCGGGGGGGTTCATTAGCCCTCCCAGAACAGGGCCTGTTCTCAAGGAGCTCCTGTTTGTCATTTGGTTGCATCCTGTGACTAAGCTACGTAATAAAATGTTGAAACAAACTGTGCTTTAATTACAAAATGTCCACACCCAGTCAAACATGCAAAGTCTGATTTTAAAAATGGAGATGTATTTGTGGCTATGATCTCATCTGTGTTCTGTCAAAAGAATATAAAGGCAGAAGCCTGAACCATACTCAAACAACTTTGGATTCATTGCTTTGAGCTTTCAAACACAAGCATCCTTGACCAGACTAGACACTGTCTGCTCTGTACCCCCTGGGGAATGGCTGGTCTTTCATCGATTTCAAAAGGAACTTCCTAGCTGGACCCACTCCCTAGGGATGTTGAGCGAGACTGTGTCAGGGCCAACTTCTCAAGGCTAAATTCTCAAGGTTACTGAAGGAAACTAGGAAATGCAGTATTAAAGACTAGAAGTGATAAAACTGTGTTTTTCAACTTTCTGTGTTTGCCAGAAGGTATTAATCTCATATGCAAATATTCCTAGCTTGTTGGCCTCTGATATGGTTATTAGAATATTAGTAGGGGTATATTGGGAATTTTTTCTTTCCTAAAGCATCTTTACTATTGAAATTTGAATGCAATCAGGATATTTGAAAACAAAATCACTGAAATAAAATTAAAGTCATAAGTTACCTTCAAATGTTGGTGTTTTAGTTTTTCTTCTTCTATTTTCAGACGTTTCTGTGAGATTTCTTCCTGTATTTTTCTTTTGTCCTGAAATAAAAAAGTTCCAGTATAAATAATTTAAAAAATTTGTGTAAATATGCTTTCTTGAGGTTAATGTGTTTATCTGAACTGTTGGGCAGCAACATGCTCTTGGCATTGGCATAAGGCCACTTTTGAAACTCAAATTTAGAAAAAAAAAAAAAGGAGAAAAGAGAGACAGTCAAAGCATTTTGCCAATGGGAAAAATCTGAAAAGGTGTTCTATCAAAGAGAATTTAAAAATGTTTCAATGTCTTCCCTCCACTACCTGCCTTTTCTTTCTTCCCCATTAGTCTAACAGCGAGGCAATGGGAAAAGTGAATTTTAAGGAGGGGCATTTTGAGATGGGTGTGAGAAGATGTTGTGAGAAGGGAGACTGTTCCTGGCACATGGCTGAAGAAGCTGCTGGGTGAAAGGCCTGAACATGCAGAAAAACAGGGCAGCCTAAGGGTCATTGGAAAGGTAGGAGGGGAGTATGGAACTGCTTCCTCCTTCTGTCCTTGCTATGGGATGACAGGGAAAGGGTTTAGACAATGATTCTTAACACTATGCTGAGGTTTTAAAAAAGTTCTTGGAAAAACCAAGATATATCATGTACAGGTACAAATTCCCAATGATGAATGTGATTATAATGTATACCTAAAATGTACCAGTAAACTTAATGGAAAAAAGTTCATTTTAAATGACATGATCTCATAACAAAACAATACAACGAAAACAGAAGCATCTCGATAGAAAGCATAATCATTAATGCACAGAAGTTTGTACTTTCTAGGAAATATAGCACATGTACTAAGCAGACAGTCTGAGTTTGATTTCAGGCTGCTCCACTTACTAGTTCTGTGTCTTCAGACAAAATCTTTAACTTCTATAAAATGGGGAAACTGAGAGTAAGGTAGATCCCTTATAAGATGTGAGCTCTAGCTAAGCTTATGTACATAAAAGTTCCTAGAAGATTTCTTAGTATGTATTGCTGTAGAGGCAATTGTTTAGTAAAATTTAATAAATAAGCATATAGCTTGTTATTCACTCCAAAAGCAGCACATTAATTCTGACACTGCTTCCATTGGTCTGAACTATTTCAGGGATTCCTTGTCCAGAACTGAGGCATTTGACTAGCCATGTATAAAAGACCCTTATTTCCTCATTTTTGACCAGAGGTGACATTCTCCACCTTATTCTTAAGAGTTGGTTTTAAATCTGCTTTCAAAATGGAAAACTCCCAAAGGATAAAATTTTGTTGCCAATGAAGACATTTAAAAAAATTTGAAGCATATTCTGAAGGTAATTTAGAAGGAACAGTTCCAAAAATACTTGGCAGTATTATTGAAATAAGTGCATGGCTTCCTGATGTGGTTCCTTTGAAGATTAAAAGCTGTTTTTGATGTATAAATTCAGTTACATTTGTTTAAGAAAAACAACACATTGTTCTCCAACTTTATGTTGTGTTTCTCTTTGTGCGTAGGAGGAATATATGGCTATACCAGCATTGCCTTTTAAATTTTATAAACAATTGTTTTGGGAAAAAATAATTAGGCACTAAGTGTAGGTCTTTAGAATCACTTTCTTCTTTTAGATGGAATCTAGTCACAAAAACTCTGAAAGCCTCTGTCAGCCAATTCTCTACATGAAGCTGGTATTGAGAGAATCTTAGTAATATTTTAAATTTATCATGCCAAACATCTTGGGAAGTACTTTACAGGCACTATTTCACTGAATGGTTATATTAACAAAAAGATATGATAATTTTCATTTCATAAAAGAGGAAATGGAAGCTCAGGGGAGTGAGTACAACTCATTCAAATTCTCATAATGAGTAAATGGCAGAGCCAGAACTTGAACTCAGACGATCTGAGACCAGCTTCCACACTCTTAGCCAAATCACTTCCCCATTTCTTGAGAGGGAAGGTAGTTAAGTTAGTTACACCTTCCCTCCTTGTTTTCTCCATTATGAATACTGAGGGCCAGCAGCACCCTCAGGTCAGGCAGTGAGGCACGGGACCTCTCATCAGAAGGGAGCACATTTTTAGCTCCCTAGACCTGGCACTGTAACCATCCATCCTTCTCCATGAATAGCCATATAGAAGACTGCTGAACCGACAATACCTCCCCACCCCTGTTGCTTGCCAGTTTGGGTTGATTTCATCTCTGGGTTAGTAATCAAGTAATGAAATATGTGAGTAGAGGCAGGTCATTTGAAATGTTTTGGCAGCACCAGGCTTATGCAAGTGTTGCTAAGGAATGCCAGTGTTTTGTCACTTAGAGGTAATGTGATTCTTCTCTCTTATCAGTCTAGGTAGATGGGAAGGTAATTTTGTAATGTTATGGACGTAATCCTATTCTAAGGAAAGGAGTGCTTTTTCCTTAAAAGATGTCCATCAGCTGTAAGCTGTCATCCAGATAGAAGCATTTTTGAAAAATAATATAGGAATAACTTAGTTTCAGTATGACAGAGTAAACTGTAAGTCAACCTAAGTTTAATATCTAGCTCTGCTGGCAGTACATGTACCAGAAGTTATCAAAGTCAGCTAATTCCTTCTCAAATGATCATGAAAAAAATAGATGTGAAACGTCATCTGCTGACCCAAATTTCCCCAGAACCTGCAGCATCTCTCTGGGTAGCTGTTTGATACGACACATTGGACATTTGTAACTATTCTAAATAAGTTATATTGTTGTTTACTTCTTCAGTGTTCAATTACTAGTGAATGATTACCTAGATTTTTACCTGTCTGACAGCCTATTTTAAAGGTTGACACTTTCAAATGTCAATTCTGGGAAAGACTTTCTCTTAGTTTGAAAATTAATTTGTTTGTCTTGTGTGACTATCACATTATTATAACCAGCCATGATCTAAAGATCTTACCACAATAACTTACTTGATAAAAGAAAGCACAGTACCTAACAATGTATTATCAATAATTAGCTAATATTTAATATGCCTGATTCTGACAAGAAGGCAGAACTTATCCTGAGTTGTTTGGTTGCTAATTTATCCCATTCTGAAGTACTTATGTACAGATTTATATTCAAGGTGACACTAGAAGTTCTACAGTGTTTAAAAATTATTCATAAGTAGATTCTTTCTCTGAAAATTTTATTTTCTCAGGAAGAAGGAAAGCATTTGTGTTAGTGGATATAGTCTCAGAAATATGGTGATACATGTCATTACCATGGCATCAGAAGTACTGTGAGGCTTGAGGGGAGACAAGGGAAGACCACTTCCAGTTGATCCTAAGATTAGAGTCTTTGGAATGGCTTCTGAAAGTCAGGTTGGGTAGTTGCTGGGGCTGGGCAATAAGGAGAAAGGGCATTCAGGTCAAAGGCTCAATGTGAGCAAAGGCCTGGAAGTAGAACTTCGGGACATTATTTGGAACAGGAAGTCTGAGTGCAGTAGCAGGAAATAAACTAATAACAGAATAAGAACAGATTCTTTATAGAGACCATTGAATGGCATGACAAGGGGTTTGGAATTTATGTATTGAGATAGGGAGTGATGAGAAGTTTTCAGGGAGAAAAGAATACTAGAGTTCAAACCATGTTTTCAGACATTGATACAGCCTCATTGTGCAGTAGGCATGGAAGGATGAGAACTGGAAGAGGATACACCAGTTAGGTTCCTGCAAAGACTTGAAAGGTCATGAGTGCTTGGATAGAAGGAGCAGAGGATGTGGATGTCCTAGAGAGCAAAGAGTTAAAGTTGTCAAGTCTTGGCAACTGATGGCCATATGGATGAGGGAAAGGAAAGGTCAAATGGAGTAGAGAGCATGTATGTCTGGGTAAATAATAGAGGAAGCAGAATCACTAACAGAAATAGGGAATTCAGGAGAAGGAAGAAAGAGTTTGAGATGAAAGATGACAGATTTCATACCAAGTTTGGTGTAGACTTGGGCCGAGTTGGTGGAGTTATCTGTAGATGGTTAGGATGCTGGATGGAGAGAGATGAGAGGAAGAGTCAGAGCTAGTGACAAAGATGGCTGAGTGTGGGAAGGGACAGATGAAAGCATGACAGGAGGCGGTGTTATGCAAAGAAAACGAGGATGAAGGGCAGATCCTCCATGAATAGAGGAGGGAGGGAACCCATGCTGAAGTTTATTTTGGGGCCAGTCAGATATTATTTATAATAAAACTTGGTGAATTTTGTTATTTTACACATGCAGACTACAAGGAGAAAAAGAATAATCACGATGTCATGATATTGCAAGTTATATGAGATTCAATGCTCTCATGCTCAAAATAATTCATTTTACAATTAAGATTATTAAACTTTGAGAAATAATACAGTGACTAGCTTAAGAAGGTACTTAGGAGCACAGCCGAGACCATAAATTAGATCTTAATTCCCAGTCCCAGTCTCTTTTTCCTTTTCCTATCTACACAAAAGAAAGGCAAAGCATATTTGTGGCATTTAGATAAAAGTAAGGAAAAACAAAAACATCCTGCTGTTATACTTGATGCTACCTGAACAGAAAGAGAGTATACGTGGTATTTTCCAAAGCCAATTGAAGAAAGTGGAAATATGAGTAAGTGCAATGATGAGAGAATTCAATTAGTGAAATATTTTCAGATTCACTCAGTCAAAAGCTGAGTATCTTAAGACCTCATGATTAGCTTTGATATTTTCATTGCTTAGAATCTGAAAAGATCAATAATAGAAGCTGCTTATTTAAATTTCAATCTGACCAAGAATTTAGAGCTGCTGGTGATGTACAAATAATGGTAACCATAAAGAAAAAGGATGTACTAACATAATCCTGCTAGAAATGAATTCTGAGCATAGTTAGAAGTTTACTAGATTTAATGAAAGTAGCTTTTAAAAATTCTTGAAAAAATTATTAAAATTCTTTAAAGGATTCTTAAAAAGGAAGCAAACATTTCAAGAGAGAAGACAGATCATGAGGCATGAGCAGTTTATGAGGAAAACATGGATACACAATTAAAAATGATATTAGGTAAGGAGAAAAGAGAATGACCATAAAAATACCCAAATTAAATAGTTTAATATCTAAC